CTTATTGGTATAGTACTTTACTGTGCTTAAGAGGTGGCGTAGCAAAAAAGTATATTTTTTCTGAATTTTAACCACAACAATTGACATAGCTAAGTATTTTAAGGCAAATGAGTGCATTTTTAGTCATTTTTTAGAAATTTTTATTTTCGGAGATTTGATCAGGAACTTATTGGTGTAGTATTTTACTGTGATCAGCAGTTGGCCACCCAATTTCACAAACTGCTGTCTCCCACTTAAATAACTTTTCACCCAATCCAGCACTATTCTTTTGATACCACATTTTTCCAGTTCATTAATTATGATTTATATATTTCATATATAAAGAAACACTGAAGAAAGATTTCTCTCAATTAATTGTTCATCATGTGTTCCTGAAACAGGGATTTTTCTTGCAAGGTGAAGTCCAACACTTACAAAGAATTCACTGCATCTGTTAGCCATATCTTTCATGTTAAAATTTTTCAGTATCCTTATCAATGCAATATGTAGGTATATTATTGTATTTAGATCAATTTAGTATTTTCCATATTCCTTATTTCTAATATCATCTATTATCCTCTTGAAGTAATCTTTCTTAATTGCCCGTATAATATCAGTTAAACTATTCTTATATTTTTTTATATTTATATTCTGCCTCCTTAGTTCTTTGTCTTATGAAATCTTTGAGTATAGAGTATTTTTCTTTCTGCAGGCATTTTTTAGACCTTTTGTGATCCATGGGCAATTTGTATAAGCTTGTTTTCTGATATATTTTACAACAGGACAATGCTTATCATATAATGAGGAAAATATTCTCAGAAACTTATTATATCCAAGGTTAACCTCTTTTCTCACTATATATTATATCCCAATTATACCCCATTAATTCATTTTTTTAATCTGTTCTTACTCTTCCGTGTATTGTTTGCTTGATTGACTTGTTGCTGTGACTGATGTCATAAACTGTAAACACTGGCATTGGATCATACTGCATATTGTACTGATACATTCATCTATGTAATCAAATTCCTCCATCTCTGTTTGTTGATATTTACTTATCTTTTGTTTTTTGTTTGTTATTTTCAGTAGTGAAGATTTGTGTTTAGTGTTCATGCATCACATGCTGATGGCTGATGCATATCTCCGGACCAGTGGGTGGCATGTCTCAGTGGTGTTTAAATCCACCTGAATCCCCTTTGAGTGGAGGAAGGCAGCCACCTGTTGCTCAGCAGATCTGTCATCCGTATCACTGGGCTCCATTCCGTTGGCAGCGGTCACCACCCGGGCGTAGGACCGAGGTGTGATGCGTAGCCCGGTCACGAACTCATCGTTGATCCAGGAATATTGCTCCAGGTCCGTGACTCTGTTCTCCAGCTCCACCAGCCGGTCCTTCTCGGCGTTCTGGATCCGGAAAGCATTCAACTCCTCCAGCAACTCCAGGAGTCCTCTCTGATGCTGTTGAAGAGTAGAAATCTCCTCGACCAGAAACTCCAGGGTCTTTTTTGATCTAATCTCCCTCCTCCGCTGTCAGAGCTTTCTTCGGCTGAATGCTGTTGCTGAGTAACAGTGCCAATCAGCTGTTAGCCAAGCTAGCGGCTCGCTAGTTCGCTAGTTCGATGTTCTTAATCCAGGGTCAGTAGGAAGAGAAGACAAAGAAAAGTATAATATAGTCCAACACCGAGAACACACACACAACAAACGAGCAACCAGGTGTGTTTTTGAATTATCCAAGCGTAATCTTTCCATCTTTACTAACTAGTGTTGTAGTAGAACAAGTGAAGCCACGGTAACAGATTCAGTTCTTCTGTGACCTAGCTACCTGCCACACTTCGAACTGCGGAAGCAAGTGTTCTCTATCCACCTTAAGCAGGAGGCCTACGTTTTCAGGTGTGTGTTTGTGCTACAGCAGAAGTACTTATGTACACTCAATGTTTTTTTGTTTGTTTGTTTTTTTTAGTAATTTTGAATCTAATTATGGCCTACCATAATTAGAATACATGATAGTATACTTTCATAAAACCTTTAAAATGAAATATATGCAAGCTATTTCTAAATAAACCAGGAAAAACTCTCATCTTTGAGAATGTATTTCCAGAATTTTATTTTATTTTTCTCCCTATTACAACATTTGGTAACAGTGTTAAACTTTTCTTCATTCTGTCTAAATTTTGCACAGAATCCAGTTTGACTTTTTCAGACTCTGGGGTCCAGACATTGACTTGAGGCATGGAAGTGTGAGAGTCACCAAAGTTTGAGCTGCTCCCATAATAAGGCACCACGAGTCCATGTTGACAATCAAGCAGCTGAACTACTTCCTGCGACGACTGGCAGCTCCCTTCTTGCTGCTGCAGAGCAAAAAGTGCAGAAAATAAAGAGTCAAATCTGAAACATTACATTTTCTATAAATATTACAGTGAACAGGATTTTTCAACATGTCAAGTTCTATTTTACAGCTAAAAAAAAAGTTAATAAAAAATTAATAATTTGTGAACAGGTTTAAATTAATTATGCATCTTCAAAATAAATTTAACATTTTAAAAATATTGTCTCAAATATAGAAAACTGGGAAGAAATAAATGTTTTTTGGGGTCAATATTAAGTTGTAAAAACACTATTTTGAAAACAATTTCAAATTCTTAGGAGACAACAAAAATGTGCTTTAAATCAAGATATTTAAACATTTTTAAAATTTTGGAAATGTTATTTACATTTTATTTATTTATGCAATAACCTGCTTACCTACTAAATACTTAAATCTAGAGAGTTTGTGTAAATAGAGTATTTATATAAACGAATCTGTGTTTATATATGGACATCTGAGTCTGTGTGTAATAAATTAAAATAAAATGTATGTTTGCAATATAAACAAATATATATTAAGTTGTGAAAAATACATATCAGTATTAATCATTACATTCTTTGTTACTAAAACAATTGTTAAACTAGAATTATTTTACCAAAGGCTATTCAACATTTTGTTAAATTAAATTATAATTAAACATTTCAAAGTAAGAGAATAATTTAGTGTGCAGACAAGATGTCTCAGATGTTAATGTGAATTCTTACTGTTTCTGCAGCTCATCAATACGGTTTCTGAGAGAGATGACCTGAAAGACAAAGACAACTCAGTCTGTAGTGGACAGGACAGGACAGGACAGGAACTGAAGGACATCAGCTTAACTCAGATTGGTCACGTGTTGTTGTTTAAAAAACAGCAATGAGAAAGAAGAATTCCCTTAAACTTGAACCGTGATGTAAATAATCTCAAACATAAGGTGTAACATATCATTCAGTTTAATAATAAAATTATGGAAAATAGAGAGAAAAAATGAAATGGGATGAGTCGTGATGGGATGAAATGTAATGACTTTACACCAAGTCATTAGGATGAGGTGAGGTGATGACATCAGACCAAGTCCCTGAGTTGAGACAGTGTGACTGACCTCATATCTCTGTCTCTTCAGCTTCTCACAGTGATCATACTTAATGGCCTCTAGGCTGTGCAGCCACTCCCACAGATCCTTTGCCTTTTCCCTGCAAAAAAACAAAACAAAAAACAGACATCAATAGTTTACTAATTTGCCAGCAAACGTGTACCAGCAATATAATTATTATTACTATTATTATAATAACATTGAAAGGACTTATACCCTACAATACTTATGTATATATGTTACGATGTCAGCATAGTACACAGAGGACAAAAAGTTGGTAAAATAATGACATTTAGTAATGAATTTATTTATCATCCAAGTAATATTTAATCATACAAAGATTCATTATATATATTATTATATTTATATATTTCTAAATTTTCTGCAATTTTGCATCTTAACCATCTATCTGGTGATTATTATAAATAATGATAATTAATCTCCAGGTAATTTACTGTAATAACTAGAAGTCTATGCAGGGAAATATCTGCCCAATCAGCAGTGACCGTTGTTACTGTTGTTACCTCAGCTTATCATCACTGAGATCCTGAATGCTCAGAGGTTTGATTCTCTCAGCCAGAACCTTCTTCTTCTTTTCTCTCTCAGTTTGCTTCTTGCCTCTCTTGGCATCAATCTATAAAACAGAACTCAGGTTAAAAGTCCATGTCTTCCCTGTTTGTATGGAGATGAGGAGGGAACAGTGAAAATCATCAGCCCCACCCTCTGCAGGTGACTGCTGTAGCCTGATCCCATGTTGGTCAGGGCAATCTTCTTCTTGGCATCATCATCAGCCTTCCTCTGGGCGTCGGCCTCCTCCTTCCTCTGACGCTCAGCCTGTCAGACAAAGTTCTCAGTATTCACCAGCATGGCTGCGGGACGGACAAGGACGCTTTGGCTCTGCATTACACACACTTAGCAAACATGAAGGTCACATTTCTGATCCTATTTAATGTCTCTTAATCAATTTAGCCTATCTTTTTTTATTACTATTACATTTCAAATTATTGGGTAATTTCTTACATTTTGAAGTGCTCTTTTTTTATTTCATATTTCAAGTTCTTTTTAGCTGTTTCTGGGAGTAGTAACAGAGGTAGAGGTAAAGGATCAGAGGATTTTTTTTAGGCTATTTGCATAAGATATTCTCTATAAACTTGATTTCGTGGCTGAATTTGAAGCAATACTTTTACTATTTCTAGAGAAGAAGTAAATGGAATATTACAATAATGATAATTATTTAATAATTAAATAAATAAATATGTTTTATAGTTTTTGGAAATGTTGCTTACCAGATGAACAGAAGAGTAAAGGTCCCAAAAAAAGTGTTTGATTAAGAGGTCACTAGAAGCCGACCGTGACCTTGAACAGGGTTCATGTGATCTTGAATGTTTATTTTAAGGTCTTGTGCATTTTACTGTAAATACCCTTTTCTTTTATATGTAGTTATAAAAATGGGCTACGGTTATAGGTCAACTGTAAAAAGACACAGTTGGCACAGTTGAGGTCAGTGTGACACTGCCAGGCCACAAATGGAAGAGTATTTTTGGAGCCATAGAAAAATGTCCTACCTCCCTTCTGGCCTGCCTCTCTTTGTCTTTCTCAGCACGAATCCTCTGCTGCTCAGCCCGCTCAGCTCGACGTTTCTCCTGAGGACACAATGTAAAGTTGTTTCTCTTATGCAGAAATGCTGTTTTTAGCCTTCGGGTTTATGTCTGTTGAAATCTCACAATACGGTCTTTCAGAGCAATGAGTTCCTCCTCCTCCTTCTTCCTGCACTCAAAGTGAGCATCGATCAGGGACTGCAGCTCAACCAGGTCCTTATTCTGACGCTTCTTCTGGATGTCCTGTCATGACACAACAGCAAATATAACTGTTTATCACGTATTCTGTCTGTTAAAAAATGTAGTAAATAAAAAGTTTAGTTGTCATGTTAAATTACATGTTTGGTAATATATATATATATATATATTTTTTTATCTAATAATATAATATATTTAAATAGAAAACTGCCAAATTGTTTTTTATTATGTAGTGTGAAAAAAAAAGTAATCTTACGTCAAAGTCCACTTTTTCTCCATCAGGGATCTTTGGAGCAGAAGGTCTGTGGGAGGACACAATGTAACATGTAGACTGAGATGTAACTCACAAAGTAAACTGGTTGAAGCTGCTGCTAATGTTTTCTACTGGAGGTAAAAAGAAATGCACTCACTTGAACCTGGGCTTCTCCTCTGGCGTTACACCGTCAAACACAGATAAAGAGAGAGAAGAAGAAAACATCCAAGAGTGAGAGCAACATGAACAGGAGAGCTGAAGCTAAGAGGTGGAGATTCTGGTTAATGGGGGGAAAATACCAGGTAGATGAGCCGAGTTACGTCTGAAGGCTGCAAACCTCCAATAGAGGGTCATGTGAGTATTTCATTGCTCAGTAGTTTTTAGAATCAGTGGCCTAATTTCTGTGTGATGTGTTTTAGGTTATAGGAATATAAAGCACCAGCAGCAAATCGAATCCTTGAAGTCTGCAACTGTGCAGTTTTAAACTATTTTTTTAAAAACTATTTAAATTGTCATTAAAAGATCCCTTTAAGACAGAAAAGTCAGGAGAAAAAACAGGTAAGTATAAATTTACATATACTGTATATATACATATTTTTATGCGATTCCTTCATCGAGGTGGCTATAGAAGTTTTTACTTTTTTTTACCTGCAGTTTTATTCACTGTAAAGTTTACAGCACAAAAATAGGCCACTGATTAATAAACTGTTATCATACTTTAGCTTTATTTTAAATGTTTTATAAATTGTTAATTTGTTGTGCATTAGTCTGTAAATCAAAAACCGAATTGTCATTTGAAACGATAGAATCAGAATGAGTTTTCGTGTAAAAGATTGGCATATAAAATATTAAAAAGTATAATTTTATAAACATCGTCGCACACTTTCACAACAGGGTGTTGATACAATTGCTGTTATTTGTTTCTGTGAGGAAAAAAAAACAATCAGGAGTTTGTGATTAGAGGTTTGTTTGTTTCTCTGGGGCTTTAAAAATGAAATCAAAAGTAACACAAACAGACAACATGGGAGGAAAAATGCAGGCAGAGCGGCAGCAACTCAGCAGAAAATACAAACTACCATCTTGATCTCCCTCGTCTGGCAGGACACATCATGCAAAAAAGAGAAGAAGCAGAAATAAGAGAAGTGCCCGGAACCGGTACTCGCCATTTATGAATCCACCTCCATCAGCTGGAGCAGAGACTCAGGGAAACAAACAAATGCAAATATACGTGTACATGTACGGAGAATAATTCAAATAAACATACCTTCCTCTTCATAGGCCTCTGCATGCAGCAAGCGTCCGAAGCAAGAGCAGAACAGAGACCATTAGTAATGGATCTAGACAGCCAGTTCAAGTCTACTTTACAGTGCATAGCTAATGAAGCGCAGTTACTAGATGGGGCTGTTGGTGCCTATGACAGAAGCCACTGCACATGCCCCATGTCAAACAGGGCCAAATGTGGCTGAATATATTGATTTAATAAATGAAATACAGATAAATGTCAACTACATAACTACGTAAAAATTAGTTTTTGATCATGACGAGTTCATTGATTCCATAGTTTTGCAAATGCACAAATAAGCCCAGAACATCTGCAGTGGCTTTGTCTGTATCAAATTAGACATAACATGAAGGTAACATGTAATTTAAGGATCAGTTATACAGTAATGCACCATATTCCCAACTGTAAGTGCTTAAGAACAATGTGCAGGTCTACATTTTCATCTACACACAGAAAAAAAAACCAGATGCTTAACAAGGACCGAAGGGAGGAGAAGTGACTTTTACATGACTGACTTTTCCCTTCATCTTTGACTTGCAACTATGACCTGGATGATTCAAATCAATTTGCCAAAATGCATAGAGAAGGAAATTTTGACAAAATAGACAGAAGGTCACAGATGAGGTGGGAAAATCAATTCATGTAAAAGCAGATTTTTTTTTTCATCTTCTTTCCCTTCACAAATGTGTGACAATTCAAAACGACACATCTGATTCTGAGCAACAGAGCTGACAGTGATCACTATGTGGCTCAGTGGAGCCATAGGAGGAGCCGCAAAATCATCAGACCACATTTGAGGGCTCCACATAAGACAGGACTCAAGTTCAGCTCACGCTGGTTGGTCCTGTCCAGCCACAGTGATGTGCGAAGCGAATTAGACAAAGAGCTGCTTCTCTGGAGCTTTGATGCGTGGTGATGTTTAAGAACAGGGCAGCATCTCCATGACGATGCTGCTGGTGTGTGTACGTGTGGTTATAGTATTCATACCACTGGGTGGCAGTGTTATAAATATCGCTATCAACATTTTTTACTCATGTCAGCAACTGTTATGAGTAAAAAATGTTGATCTCCCAAGTCTTCAGCGGTTGCGCTATAACAGTAGTGACTGTCCTGAGGAAACTGAAATCACAATGGATCATAATCACAATCAACATTCTCTGTCTGTTACATAGATGCTGACGTCTTCATCTGTTCTGATGTAAAACTTCTATGTTCACATTGTAGATTCAGTTCAGACTGAGCAGTCGTAACAGGAGCTAATATAGAACTATAAAAAACAAATATATTGTTTGTTAAAGTTGTTTTTTATGATGCTCTTTCCTGTTTCAATGGAATATTAATCAGTTTGTCATTTATTATCAATAAGTCCAAAAGAAATGCAAATTATTTCTGGTTATTAGAAAATCCTCATCATTTCAACACAAACTAACAGTTAAACACTTATTTGGTTTTACTTCATAATTTAAAGTGCTCATCATCTAAAGTTAAAACCTGTCTATTGCCATTTTGCTGTAAGTCTACTGTTTCAGCTGAACTAACTACCCTGAGCAGAGGACTGGACGTCCTGCAGGAGAAGGATTAAAGGGACCACCGGTGACAACATACCTTCCTCCTGCTGCACCAACTCCCGTGGCTCAGGCTCTGGCTCTGGCTCTGGTTCTGGTTCTGGTTCAGGCTCTACCTCTGGTTCTGCCTCAGGGGCTACTTCTACTTCTACTAGCTCCTCCTGGGCTACGGCACGCAGCATGCACCAAACCGCCAGGGAGAGGGAGTGTGTCGGAGAAGGCCGTTAATGAAGACGGGAGACATTAGAGAGCCATTAGAAACCAAATGACAGGGAGATTACTTTAGTCACAGGCAGCATGGACGAGAGGGTGAGGAAATAATGCTGCTGCTGGAGAAGAAAAAGAGAAACAGACGATGATGACAAAGTAGGAGAACCTCATACACAGAAGCCATGTTCAACTGTGGAGGTGGAAACTCCCTGAGGAGATGGAAACTTCAGTTTCATAGATTAAGAAAATGCTTACAATAAAAGGTATATTTTTTAGAAATTTACCATTTCAATTCGAGTGTTTCCAAAAGTTTTAATTAATTGGCAACAAATCATCTCGAAAAAGACAGATTCAAAATTGACATATGTATAACAATATATAAAATTATTAAATATAAATGTTAGATTTTATTTTTTTTTATTTTAAAATAATATTAAATTTTTATATTTTCCAAATAAATTAAATTGGAAAAATATAAAAATATAACTATAATCCTACAATTTATTACCTGATAAATCGTTATGTGATATATTACCCACTCTTCCTTGTATTGCATGTTATGAAAAAATACATACAGTCCTATGAAGGAACCTGAGGAAACCTCAAATCTCAAACTAAATATTAATGTTAATATTAATGAGAAATGAAAACCTTTATCAAATGACAATATGCAAGGCCCTGTTACTCAATACAAATGAGTTTTCCTGAAAAATAATAACAATATTTGAGCCCCATTTGTTTAACTTGATTTGAACTCCAAAAGTATAAACACTTTCCTTACTTAAAATACTGGAGCTGCAGTGACTTCACAGTCAGTAATAATTGAAGCTGTCAAATCAAATGAATTGTCTCCAGGTAGTTTCCACCTCCACTGTTTAACCAGTGCAGTTGTGTGAATGAGGACAATGACGATGGCACTGTGTGACATTTACATTTGATTATGTAAACATGTCACACACCAAGAAAACAAATGTAACAGCACCACGACGCTTCATCACATTTTTTTCTTAACTGTATGATTTAAAATTTCACTCAGTCAGAAGTAGAAAAAAAAACACCTTTAACTTTGAAGTGTTTGACTGACACCTGGGCGTTTACTCTTTTAGAAATTATGTGGATAATAGTTATTTATATAATCACAATATTAATGAATAATTTACTCTACAGAGGAAACACCTAGCAGCTAATGTTAGCTGACCTCACCACGATCTTCAAGTACAAGTTGATTTAAAATGTGCCCATGCCTTTACTACGAAGGAAGATTTTAATGAATACAAATATGACTTTACTCTGTTTTTGTTATTTGCAGCTTATGGAAACACTGGATATCTAAAGGACCAACATCAATATGTATTTAAAGAGACAACTTCCTGTTTTATTAAAGTAACTGAGTTAGATATTTCTTTAAAACTTGTACAAATACTGTGTGTAATATATGAAAAGATTGTGACAGTCAAATGTTTCAAATTAAAGCCCAAAAGGTAAAAATTAGTACAGTGAAAAAAATGACTGGTGAAGAAATGGAATTGATGAAGTCGTTTACCTTCCTCCTCTTTAGTTTGGGGGAAAAAAAGAAGACAGGAGAGAATGAAAATATAAAACAGGCTCAAAATTGTTCTCTCTTTATATATATATAGTACTATCTATATCTATCTATCTATCTATCTATATATTTGTAGGTAAGTACAAACACAGAAGGCAGAGAAAACATTGACCTTGCAGGACACTAGGACACTCCTAAAATGTAATTATCCTTCATAAATATCAAAATATCCCCTCAGTTATATTTACATCATCAACAAGAGCTTTTCATCTGTTATTCCCTTTTTTATTTTTATTTTTTTCTAGAATTGATTAAGATAGGTATGAATTAAGGGGGCAATAGATCCAGTAGGTGGCAGTAATGACAATCAAAAGCAGCCACTTGCTGTTAAGGCTAAAAGAAGACAAGATAAGCATTGGCAGAGCGGCAGGATGAACTCTAACTCTAAAGAATGATCACTTTATGTTATTAAGTTCTTATGAAGCTGTTTTTGCGTCACAACATAGGATGAATGTTCCTGCTCATCCTGCCAACTTTGATATAAATGTTCCCTAAAAAGGGACCATTATAAGAGAAGATACAAAGTCGAGAGAAAAAAATGAAATGATTGCAGAGATTACCAGAAATAAAGGTCATGACTTACCCTCATATTGATCCCTAAAAGACAAAGAAAAAGAAAAAAAAGGGCAGATTTAGAAATTTAATGAGAGCAAACCCTCAGCTGTTTGTCCTGACGGTGACAATCACTTACACTTCCTCAGTGTCAGACATGGCGACAGCAGACTTCACACCTGAGGACAAAAACAAAAGGATGTAATGAGTCCAGAGGTTTGAAATAGCAGCAGAGTGACAGTGCTGATATGAAAAGGTGACAGGTTTGATCCCCCAGAGACGTTTCTGTCCTGCTGCATAGAAACTGGACTCCTGCCTGCTCTAGTTACACGTTGTTTTCATGAAGCTGGAAATATGTTTCTGTCAACCACTGTAACAACATGTTGTTGTTGATTTCTAACATTGTTTGCTTTCGTTCCTGTCGGCTGATCAGTTGTTGAGCTTAAAAAAAGGATTTAAAAATAGCAAATGTAAAAAAATGATGTGTTCTTTATCAGATTATATGGTAGTTTCTGTTATGTAGAGGTGATTATTTTTTAAATTCCAACTTTGCCGTACACACGACATATAAATACATCTACTGAAACTTGATCTAAAAGGTCTATTCTCTTGCAATTTAATGCCAAACTTTTTACAGTTGCATTTCCCAATAAGAAAATAGAAGAGGCTACAGGCTACAAAGGTATTTTAAAGAAAATATTATTTGATATTTGAGTTTGTCTTCTAGGTATTAACTTAACAAAAGGCCAGGCGGCTCACTAGGTCTGGCTGCCAGACTATTTCTAACCACGAGCCTGAAAAATAGGAGCGTTGCATCAACAAGTGCATCTGTTGTAAAAGCCGATGCAGTCTATAAAAATAGAAATAGCATCTATGGTTCTGAAATACTGTTTAGGAAGTTGTCCAGCATTGGTTAATTTTTATTTTGCCAAACCTCAAACCCTACGATGTGGAAACGTTTTAATGATCCTCCCTGTTAGCTTTTCAGGCTAATGTCAACATTACTTGACTTTTGCTTCAACATCAATAAAACCTTTTACATATTGTATTGTATGTATAGTGTGTCCAGCCTACAACACGTTACACAACTCCAGGTGTAGGTGGAAACTTGTATTCATCAATCATTAGATGAGGGTGAATTTAAACTCAGACGGTACAACCCTGAGGTTTACTTGACATCAGCTGCTATTGCCCAAACTTTTGAACGAGCTTTGACTTGATAAACAGTCACAAAGATAAAAGTCTATCCTTATATGTAGTAATCCTTCCTATGTGATGCATTTGTTGTGAAATTGCATTGCTGTTAGTAAAGAAAAGGATTGTTTCGGGTGGAACACATACTTTTGTAGTACTCTTCTGTGTTGAGGTATCTTATATTGAATGTACAGTGCAGAGACAAAATAACTTGTCTTTGTGTGACTCCTTCACACTTGCTCTGGAGCACAGCTGCAGGGGACTTGAAGGATTAGTTGTGGATCATATTTCAACCCATCAGATGAGGAACAGTGTCCAAATAGCAGCTTTAATCCCTCGGCCCGCTCCAGCAGGAGGATCCTCTACACTCAAGTGGCCAATCAGCATCCACCTCCTACAAATAAGCTCTTTGATCGCCTTACATCTGACAACGTTCTCACCTCTGTGTGTTCTGCAGCCGCTGAGTACATGCCAACGTTTCAGCACACCGTATATTTAGTGGACAGTCACTTCATTAGTATGAGAACTCTGAATGCTGAGAAGTGTTTGAGTCTTTCTGAAACCAAAACTCGGCGCTGAAACTGTCAGAGCGATTGGACAGGTGACGCCTCAGAGGAAAATCGTATCATGAGCCAATCAAGAGCAGATTTAGACTGAAATGCCAAGGCAAGATGAGGTTAAAGACCAATCAGATCATATGAAGGATTTGTATTTTTGCCTGCAACAGCAAATAGACATTGTACTGAATCATCGTGGTCTCACATTATCCATAAATCATCTACATGGACGTGTCATCGCAGCTACTTTGTCTTACAGAGAAATATGTTTATAAAAAACATCAACCCCTATATTATCAAAGAGTAAAGATTCAACAGAATATCAGATTCTTCACTTTCTACCTTTTTCTGAGCTTTGGCTGTCTTATACCAAAATTATCTAATTTCTCAAATTAAGTTCACATCATATGAATTTGTTTAAAAATGTAAAACTTTCTTTTCACTGGAGTAGAAATATATGTAAATACATCAATATCATTTGAGTAAAAAAACAAACATTAGAGATAGAAAAATCTTATTCGAGCTGAGGACCAGAGGTGTATGGACAGTTCAGCATCACACAGTTAAAAGGAGGTCTAAATATTTATCTTTATGTTATCACTCCTCTTTCTATACGATTTCCTAATTTCTTGATACTATTTCTGTCAAGTTAGAAACCCAATTCTATATTTTGTTATTTTTTTGAGCCTGTTTATAGGTCTGGCCGCAGGAAACTGTACCCTGAGTCAGAGTGTGAACCATCTCAAACACAAACTACACATGTAAGACATGCAGCAGAACACATTCTTGTTTATACTACACGTCAGTTCTGAAACTACAAGTGTTTATGTGGAATATTATCTGAGGCAGTTCAGATGCCGCGTACGTACATAAAATCTGCACGTCTTCAAAAAGAATTAGCCTTTCAGACTAACAAATCATCAATCAAAAATCATCATCATTTAGATTTCATTATAAAAGGAAGCTGCTGCCTGTGTGTATCTGTCGTACCTCAGAGGGAGAGAGCAGCTCCTCCAACGATGAAAAGGAAGGTCTGTAAGAATCTGCAGGCTCGGCTCAGAGAATAAGTCCTTGTGCTATAGTGATACTTGAGCTCATCAGGCCCTTATTGGTTGTGGGGATGACAGTGAGGTCTGTGTGCTCATGCGTGTAATATTTACTTCATGTGTATGTGTGGAAAAGGTGAGGAAAGTGGGGTGGCGGGGGNCTGGAGAAGGAGATGGATGAAATGCTATGGATGTAAGAGGAGGGCTCAGGTTTTGGAAAGGAGCAGCTGAGAAGCTTCAGTTGCTAAATTTACAGTGATAGAAGGCTGAGAGGGGGTTACACATCAGCCTGGCATCCAGACAATGGAGAAAGTGTGCATGTGTGTGTGTGTGTGCGCGCAAAAGAGGCATAGAAAGAAACAGAGGGAGAGGGGGAAATTGAGGGAGAGACACAGAGTTTCACAGTCACTTCATCAGCTCATCATCACATCATGTTACTCTACGTTAAGATACAGAGAACAATAATAGGATCATAATGAACTGAAGAAAAGATAAATGTTCACTACACCTTGGTGATGTAAGGAGTAGGTAAAAAAGATCAATAATTATTAAAAAATTTACATTTGCACTAAAGCCTTAACTTTGTGTAATAACAAAATCATCATAATCAACATGACAATAATTAAAATAATATACACACACCCACATGTATACATTTATATATATATACACACACACATACATATACTGTATATATATTTATATATATGTTATATATATATATGTGTGTGTGTGTGTGTGTGTGTGTGTGTGTGTGTATGTGGAAACTTGATTAATACACTTACTTGAATTGGGCCAGACAGGAACAAACAACAAGCTGTTGTTTAGCCACCACATAATGGTCACCACCATGTTATTTGGGTGACATGCTTCTTCTCCTTCACACACAGATCATAAATCTTTCAGATTTGAGTCAACTGTCTGAATTCCAGTGTAACTCCAGACTAGCTAATAGCTTTTTACCTTTAAAAAAAAATCAGAAAAGAAATAAGCATAAAGCTAAATTTAACTACAAATAACTATGTAATCTGAAATGCTATTGTTTTAGTGGATTACTTTAATTAATTTGCCTCTCAAGATGTAAAATAAGGACATGCTGTATGTCTGCAAAACTACAACACAGTCTCAAGTGCTTAAAGATACATAAAGACAAGAAAACTCTCAGATGGGTTGTTGACCTGCCAGTCAGTTAAAAATACACTGAAGCCAGTTTATGTTTTAAAAAACAATTCCTCTTGTTTTTTTCTCTGAAAAAAAGAAATAAATACAAATATTAGTCACTGTACATACAGAGATACATATACAAACAACAAGGTTAAGCAGAAGAAATGACTGATTAAAATGTGTAACAATGTTTCCCCTGGTGGTCAAAATACATACTACAGCCAAAACTAATGATAAGTGCAGAGATGTCGAGGTTTGACACCTGCACAAAAATTAAATTGAAGTTAGTTATTCAGCAGAGTTCACTTCAGCAGCAAATGTTACAACAATTTCTATTTTACATTTTTTTTTACAATAATAATAATAATAATTTACAACAGCTTCTATAATGCATGTGTGAAGTGTCTTGGTGTGTCTGGTTACACCACAGCTACAGTATAGAAATGATCATTTTGTGTGCAGAGAGATATTGCATCTGGTCTAAAATATTTCATATATAAATATATATTTGTTTTTAAAGATCTCAATAAGTTGAACAGCTACAACAAGCTAGTCACCTATGTGAAATGCTGTGTTGTGTTAACAATCAACCAGCAAACAAAACAGTTGTTGTTAAGGTCTCAATATCCTGCCTTTGCTACTCCACACCTCTGTCCACCTTTCCTCAGGTAAAGTGGCTGCAGGCCGCCTGTAGGGGCTGCAGCTCAGCTGTCTCAGGTGGCCTGGAAACCCCCATCTCCCCCTGCAACACACACTGAGGGAAACAGTTTTATTTTTGGAGTGGCTACGGGCACTGTGGCTCACTCCCTAAGTCTCTAGTTCACTTCAGGATGAGACGGCCCTGTAGCACTCTGAGCCGGGATTAACAAGCACGGAGCATTTTTTCCCCCGACAGCCTGAAGGTAAACTAGTCATACTCAGTGTCTGTGCTGCAGTGTCTTCCACATATCACTCAGGTGCTTACCTTCAAATGATTCCTAGGGTCGTTTGGTAGCACGTGCACAACTTATAACCTAAAATGCATGATGAAATATCAGACGGCGATCATGGAGAAGCACAGTTAAGGAGCTGCAGTGTGAAACATGTTTCTGCACATTTTCATGTCAGCATGAGTCAGCGGTGTCAAAGCCCCCACACCAGCACACTGAACATGCCTATAAAACTTTCTGTTATTAAGTCCAAACAAATGAAAAATAAATACAATAAATACGCGTTTGTTTTTCTGTCACACTGAGCAGATTTGAGTTGGACCTGCAAAACACAAGCTTCTCTTCCCACTTTGGGTGAGTGAAACTGCTCCACACTAACATGCATCGGCCTGCTGTAGAAGAGCTTGTCCTTGGTGTTGTTTAATTGAGAACCTAAAGCTGGGTGGATTGATGTCACGGCACACTTTAATCACAAAGCTAATCTTATACTTTCCAATTTTGAGCTGCTCCTGCCAACCTCCCAGACATCCGACCCCACAGCCTTAAAAGGGGGATGTCTCACATGTCAAATGGCCTCTTTGTCAGTGCAACGACCAATTTGACAACAGGGATTTAAATTTACTTTGTCCTTAAACTGTAAAAAAGAACAGAGGTTTGGTTGTAAACAATGTGGGGAAACCTGATTCCTTTTGTAACAGAGATGGTCATAGTGGCATGAAACAAACAATCTGACAGGATTATCACAGTGGTTTCCAGATCAGAGACTCATAAATGGACATTAAATGGTCATAAATGTCCATATTCAAATGAGTCATTGTACTGAAACACAGGGCTCAACAGCTCTGAAAGGATTTGTGCTTCAGATTGATTTCCACGAGACTGGGGCTGTTTGTGTGAGTGCAGGACAGCAGGCAGCAGGTGCTGGGTGTCAGCGTGTTTGCTCTTATTTCCTTCAATCTAAATTTAGACAGTGGCCCATTTCTATGTAGTGTCATCTCCAGAATACTCTGCAATACAGAAGACAGATAGGTAGCTTAATTCAAATGGTGATGTACTTCAAAAAATACCTGCATTTATTAGACACAAACGTAAAATATTTAAATCGCTATATTTCTCTGTATATAACGACTTTATACCCTGTATTTGGTTTTTACACTTCTAAAAACCAAGTATTCTCAAAAAGGCTTTCTCATCTTATTGAAAGAAAATTTTCAAGAGTTTGTCACCATTGTAATATAATCTTAGTGTTAGCAATAGCTTTTAATGGCTTTCTATTTTCAAGTGTGAAACTACTTGTAGTTACGCACCATCTTCAGGACACAATTGACTGTTTAATGGTGGGAAAAAAAACTGCTGATGAGTCTGTTGATGTGAGGGCTCATCCTGAAATTCTGTAAAGCCAGCTGTAGACAGCTGATTAAATCACTACTGTTGATACACAGCTGAGTAAACCACAGGGAACTGAACCAAATAATGAATACACACACTGAAGTCTCCGAGTATTATGTATTGGAAAGCCATACAGCAGAAGACAGTTATACTACTTTTATTTTTATTGAAATTAAAGAAATTGTACTACTTTAAAGTAGATGAATTATGAAATGTACACAGGTTGGAAACAAGAATTGGTTAAAAGTATAACTTCAGAATTAACAGACAAGAGACATTCCTCGGAGGTGACACATTTTGATTTAGTCATTATTTCAGGGAAGTGATGAAGGTGAAGGTATGCTGAAAAATGTTCGTGAGGGTCCAGGGTTTATTTTCTTTGTGTATCCAGAAAGTCCACATGTGGTTTACAAATCCTCAAAGAAATCTGTAGTTGTTGAAGAGAAAAAAAATACTGTAGTCAAAATGACTTATGTTGAAAATGAGCAGAAACAACCTTAATATTTATATAATATTTAAGAACTGGACAAAAAACACCAAGGTTGCCTTTTAGTTTCAGAAGTGACGTAGAACAAGAAAACATTTCTGTATAATTAAAAAAAAAAAATCCTAAAACAAACTGATCCATATCTTATTCTATTAGAACCTTAGGGTTGTTTTGTAAGAACAATGGCAGAAAGAATAAGAAAAATTATGTCGGTGATATTAACCAACATTAGGACAAAAATTATGTCGGTGATATTAACCAACTGCAAACTCCTATTGGACGATCCTACTGTAATGTGTAAAGTGAAAGTGTACTGCATGTTTTATTGAAAAATCCTGCAAAGTTGTGGTTTAAATTAAATACAATCTCGGAAAATATGTACTGACTGCAGTAGTTAAGGGGACATCCATATAAATTCTAAAATGTCTGGTTTAATCAGTCGTTTTGGGTTTGTCAGTGAAAGTGTAAGAATGTTTACAGGATGAAACTTGTTGACTAAGATGATCTGTCTTTCTTGCAGGAGTCTGAAATGCTGATGGAGGTGAGCTACACAAATGGGCTGGAGACCGACCTCTCACAGCAGTATCCTCCACCCTTACTACCAAAGCCAGGCAAAGACAATGCACGTCTTCAAAAAATCAAGAAGAAGAGATCCAAGAAAAAAGGCAGTCTCTCTCAGACTCCTGTTCCTTTTCGCTCCTGCTTATCACCAGTCAATGAAGCGAGCACAGACTTAGAGCACAGTGACCAGTCCAGCCCGCCGAGGTCACCAGACACAGTATATATGGCGGACACTGTCACGTTGTCTAATTTTCCCTCGGACTCAGTTTACAGTCCCTCTGGATCAGCGTTTCCTCCTGCTCAGAGCAGTTCTCTTGGACCGGCTGACAGCTCCTCCCTCAAGTCTCAAACCAACCAGACAAGGAGTTATAATGAGCAGGTTGCTCCTCTATATGAATGCTCCTCTTTTTTATTTGACGATGCATCTCCATTTATGCCACCTAGAGTTATATCTCCGCCCCCTCTACCTGAGCAAGTGCAAGCAACAGCACCTCCTCCTGCTGTGAATTCAGATAAATCGCCAAACTCTTCTGGCCCTGCCACAACAGTTGCACCAGTCACTGAATTAGAGTCTAGCCCTAAAATATCGACCCACACTCTTACCCTGTGTCCAGCCACCCCCAACTGTGGCACAGGCCTGACACCTTCTCCTGTTGCAGACCTTCCTCCTGTTCCAGTGCTGCTATCAGTTTCAAACACTCAGGCGCAACCTTTTGTTCCTAACCAGAGAGAGCCAAGCACCATTTTAAATGACAGCTCTATGAGTCAAATTGCAATATCCACTGCCAGATCTTCCATTAATGGCAACTTTGTTCCAAGCCAGATGCCCTCTGAGATAACTGCATCGAAAATATCACTTGTTCAAGCTGTGAAGGAGTCAAGATCAGACACACCACAAACCAGGATTTACACTTCAAAGGCAACATTTTATGAAATCTCTAAACCCCCCTCTATCCAGGACTTAACAGAACTCAACCATTCTTTTCCAGGAACATCAGTACCCTACTTATCCAGAGAAAGGATGTTGCCAGGGGTGAGAAGTGATGAGATTATTCATGTATCAAGGACCCCAGGTGGACGACCTAAGACCCCTTCTTGGAGACCAACTCAGGTATCAACACCTACTTTTGAAATATCCAAACCAAACCCACTCTTATTCAGTCCAAGTCCTGCTTTTAACTGCTCCCAAGACTTCCAGGTTCCACGTGTTTCCATAGAAACAACACAGCTTAAACTGGCCATTCATACTAGCAGTGTAATCAAACCCGCAACCACAGAAGAACTGAAGAGAATGGATATTTGTCAAAACACTCCCATCAATCATAGGAGCAAGAGAGACAAAGAGACTCCACATGTTGGAAGGAGCACACTAAATTTGAGCATCACGAATGCAGAGCTGTACCAACAACACAGTTTCACTCCAAGTATCCTTGCACCAGTAACCGCTGCGGATAAACCAACATTGACAGAACATGTTAACCATGAACCAAACCAAAATCAAGATCAGGTTGAAAAAAGTGAAGCTTCATTTCTACCAAAGCTCCCCTCATTTCTGTCTGTATCTAACAGTCTTGAACCCACACCCCTGATTTTAGTGCCACCTGCACTAAGTCCAAGCCTCAATCATTTCAATAACCGCCCTCCTGTGTTTGAAGCGCGCAAGTCTTTGACATCATTATTGGAGGGTCAGATGTCTCTAGCAGCATCAAAGGCCATGTCACGATCAACATATTATGGACTAACTCCCACTGAGTATCTGGCCTTCGGCGGAATTAGGACATCGCATCACAGCCCTGTTCCGTGCAGGGTCCAAACAAACATCCCAAAATGTGACCTACAGAAACCCGACCGTCAAGATCCTAACTCTTTTCAGGAGGCGTCTGCTGCTGACAGTGTTCAGTCTCCATCATCTCCAAAGGATCCACAGACTCCAGCAGGACTGACTGTGACGTGTAGTAAAGATGTACATGATGAAAGTCACTCTGCAGCTCAAAAAACTGGAGCACAATTACTTAAAACGTCTAGTGGGGACACAATAAAACCAGAGATTTCACTTGCCATGGCTCAGAAAACAATGCACCAATCCACAATTGATGTATCTACACCAAAAGCCTCACACTCTGGGGCTCCAATACCAATGCCTAAACCAGGTGAGGTACACCCACAAAGAGCAGTACAATTTTCGATTGAGAAAGCACAATACACAACTCCATTCCTGTCTGATAACAATGGTCTGGTGGGTCCGTCCTCCCTTTCAGGAAAAGTACATTTAAATACTGATACACAGCATAATGTTAAAAGTAGATGCGTTGGAGAAAATTTTGAAAATTTAAAAAATGAAGAAAACAAAATATCAAAAGTGATAGAGTCAGAACTAAAAGAGAATACACTAGCCCAAACTGGTAATGGAATCAGTCCATCAATAACCAACAGATTAAATGTTCAACTGGCTTCTAAGCCAGACAATGGTAGCCCAGAAGGTCAGTCCTTTACTGTAGAAAAACAACAAGCCACTAATATAATTAAAGACTACGTTAAAAGCATCCAGCAAGCCAAAGACAACAGCCCAAATAATTTCCTTAACAAAAAAAGTGCCGTACTCCAGGTCGTCAAAGAACCCGACGCTGCAAACACAGAACCCCTGTTGTCCCACGGGCCTGTAACAGCATCTGTATGTACTGCACAGTCCAGTATCTGTGCCGTTACCTTTAGTGAAACATCCACTAAACTCACGCAGCAACTCAGTGCAAAACCTCAATCACAATTTCATAGTCGAACACTAGAGAACACAAACGATTTTCATGGAGCAGGTTCTTCTGCCCGACCTGTGCCAAACCAATCTGCTGTAGGTATTACCTCAATACCAGGCAAACCAAGCACAGATGTCAAACACCCCGGCCTTTCCTTTACTGCTAAGAAAATGCCAAACATGTCAGACATGAAATCTCCATTACAGGTAGACACCTTCAGTGTGCCAAAACTGGAGCCCATGAATATAAACAATATCAGTAATAATGTCATAGTGGACAAACAGAACATCACTGGATTTAATGTAAAAGATAAAGCCGTCTTTTCAATTAACAGCACAACACTTGGTGTTACACCAGACACTGTCTCTTCTCTCTATGTCTTAGCTAAAGAAGCAAATTCGTCTAGAAGAACAAAATATGAGGCCGCGTCTCTACCAAACTCCAATACTACAAATTCTAACAGAGTTCGAAGTACACCAGTACACACAGACCAGAATCCATACCTCAACAGTGAAATGGCACCTAGTGAAAAAACACAGGAGAAACACATTCCCACCATATCCATCACAGTAGAGAGCACACCAGCAGACACGTCTTCTGCTCTGTCCACAGGAAATGTAGCACTGACATCATCCAGCAGCGACACCAAACCGCTTAACAAATCACCAATAGTTCAGAGACGTTCCAGGGACATTGTCTTACATGGACAACCAGGAAATACGGCGGTTATCCATCACAACAGACCTGCTGTTGAAGATGTTCCTAGAACCCAACTTAGTTTAGACAGTTGTGCTTATCATATTCCTGCGTCTGTAGCACAAATACCTCCACAAACTATGTCACCAAATATAGCAGACCAATCAACTACCTGCAAAACACTGCCCATAACTGGGATGCTGAGCAAACCAAATGTACTGTATAGCCCTAAAACACCACATATTCCACCAAAAAGTCCTCAGTTAGTGTCAGAGAGACCTAAGAGTCGATCTCTTTTAAAACACTCACCTGGCACCGTTGAGCAAACGGCAGGTGCAGATGTTGATATTCTCGCTGAAAAAAGATCGTCTGCGTCACCTGCACCTCAAAACCTACCTACAACTACATTGAAAGGAACATCTTTTACTGAGCTGGTTGAAGACAGATCTCATGCATGTCCCACTCCAACAGCTAAGCAAAATCAAACTGTCAGCAACAAGTCTAAATCTCCTGTCCCATTTCCTGCTACCTGTGAATCACCTGCTGCTGTAGAACCACAAACAATTACAATACCAGTTACAACGTTTCCTAAAAACTCTATGGTGAACACCAAACATATAGTTAAGGAAAAATCAGTCAAAGACACAAATATAAATATAGAAAGTGTTTCAAACGCAGTGAACACTAGTTTACCTGCAACTGCACAAAACAATAACAACTTTATTGAAGCAAACAAGGATTTAAAAACAGCACTTATCCCTCAAACAGACACTCAATCCTGGCCTGCATTGAGATCTTCCCCTCTCCCTGCACCCCGAGCTCGTAGAACCCGTGTACAAACCAACAGTCCAAACATATTGAAGGGATCTCAAACTCCAGTGGTTTTAAACAGTACCATAGAGTCAAACTCTTTACCGGGCACCAAGATAGACCAGAAGAACCCATCGGTTCAAAATAATGCACCAACACTTTTACCACACACAGAACAGATCCCACAAATCAATCAAGACCGACTTGTAGACAACATAGTTCCGAGGGTGAAAGACAATTCTCAGACAAATAAGATACAATCAAATGTGCCACAAATATCTAGTAGAGATAATCGTTCACCCTTCAAACCTGAAAATAATGCTTCAGCACAGTCGGCACATTCAGCTTCAGCCAGTAAAGCTACAACTATTACAAAACCTCCGGGTAAACAGGTCGGAACCAGACCTCCTTCAGCCACTGTGGAAACACAGCCCTCAGTTGTAGAAAATTATTCTTCAAAGTCCACCCCAGTTTGGGACAGGATTAGCTTGCACACCAGAAATGATCAGGCTGCATTAGAGCCACCAACACAGAACATTTCCCCTGCAAAGTCTGCACCAGATACTGACATGAAACCATCCGTAGTTAAGGCTGCTGTGATTGACTCTGCCACTCCTGCCTCTCTGCCTCAGGCCTCAGTCTCAGTCAAAGCACCATCCCCAAACAGAGGAACATCACAGTCATCTCAGCAAAAAGCTGGACTCAAGGACAAGGACAATGTCAAGACCAAAGCTACAGCTGGACAGACGAAAGCTCCGGCAGCCGAACCCTCCACGAAGTCCAAGACATCAACTGCATCTTCAACTGCTGACAAGACAGGTGCTCCTGCAGAGAACACTAGTTCTATGACTGAACCAAAAGGTGCCACAAAGTCCAAAGGCCTTAAGGCTAAACTGAGTGGGTGGACAAGGCTGAAAAAACACATGGTTGTTGAACCAGATGAGCCCCAGTTTCCAGAGGCCAACGCCAAGGTGGATGACAGTTGCAGCAAGGACATCGTAGATCCAGGAGGTGCAGGTAGTGATGCAACAATGGAGGAACAAGATGATGGTCAAGACATAGTTAAAAAGAACGAAGGCCCCAGGGCACTGAAGATGTGGGATGCCCTCCTCTTCCAGATGTTCTCCACAAAGGATCGGATCATGAATCAAATCAACATGAACAAGAAAGAGTCAAACGAGAAAAAGGTTTCCAAAGACAGTCAGAAAGAAGTTCCTTCTTTTGTCAATCGCCTACCGATCTTACTCTACAGTCCTCGTTTTGATGCCAGGAAGCTCAAAGAGGCAGCAGAGAAGCCACTGGCTAAGATTGCAGCAGTATTTGGGAAGGGGCTGTTAAAACGCAGAACTCAAGAGGAGGAACAGAAGGACTTTAATAGAACTGCTAGAGGGTTTGGTTCCAAAAACAAAAGTTGAAATGAAGTGAAGCACAGTTTGCATTTTTTAGTAATTACCAGATTAAAACAATTTGAAATCACATAGCTTTAGATCAGACATTATTAAGATGAATAATAAGATAAAATATTGAAATCATTTGGAATAGTGCACATTTCTTTAACAAGAATATTTCCATAAGCTTTAAATTAAACATTAATGACTTCATATTTAAGAAATTAATGAAAGTAGCCATATCATAAAACGTATTTCAATTTTTAGTTGGTTTGCTAATATGACATACAGAAGCTAATAAAAAGAACTTTATGATGGTCGAATATATATTAGGAGGACAACGTGCTTGCACTTTATTGGTAATTATGTAAAAGTTTTAAACAAAAGTTAATAGTACTGTGATGCTGGTTGTTAAAAATTATATTTTTTCATTTCATGGTGCTTGAGTTATATATAGATGTGGATGCATGACTTGTAGATACATTGCAGGATCAAAATTAATGTTGAATTTGTCACGCTTTAACTGTTTTTATGTTATTGATTTTGTTAAATCAGTGAGGTGTTTAGTGTAAGTGGTTCAATCTGTGTAATAAAAGGGGCTTTTACATTCCTGAAAAAACAGGGAAGACAAGCAGTAGAGGAAGGTATAAAAAATTTGGTCGGAAGAGAAAAAGGGTTAAAGCAGGTCATGAATGGACGGAATGGTTTTGGCTCTTCTATTAAGATGTGATCTGAGCAAGAACTTATGAAAATACAGGCTGGTGGTCTGTAACTCAGTATAAATACAAATCTAAAGTAAAACAGGCAATGTCTGACTGATGTATATATATTTTTTTGAAGTAAGACATGACTTTGGTTTGAAATAATCCCATTTACAGGAACATATTTATTACTATACATTTAACTAACTAGAGTTAGCTATGAAAAAAGAAAGTGATTTATTTGTAAAACACTGCTATTTTATGTTGATAGTTTATATAGGGTCTATGGTTGGACAGTGCTGGTGTTCATGGTTTGATTCCCCTGAGTTCAGTGAGGTCTTTTTTTTCAGGCCTCCTACAGGATATACAGTAGGTATGAGGGTTGTATGAGGTTGAATTATTACGTTTCAGAACGAGAGAATGGGATATACGAGGTGACAGATGATGTTATAAGGTGTTGAACTATGATGACAGACTATAGGGAAGTTGGTAAGAAACAAAGGTTGGTTTGTTGTAATAAATGAAATGAAAATAATATTTCATGTGTTTGGATGGCTGCTAATGCCAGTGTACGTGTGCGGCGTATTCTGACAGTTTTCTGACAGTATTCTGACAGTTTCTCTGGATTTTGTAATGCGTCTGAGGGTATTTAGACAGTTTCTCTGGATTTTGTAATGCGTTTATTACGTTTCAGAACGAGAGAATGGGATATACGAGGTGACAGATGATGTTATAAGGTGTTGAACTATGATGACAGACTATAGGGAAGTTGGTAAGAAACAAAGGTTGGTTTGTTGTAATAAATGAAATGAAAATAATATTTCATGTGTTTGGATGGCTGCTAATGCCAGTGTACGTGTGCGGCGTATTCTGACAGTTTTCTGACAGTATTCTGACAGTTTCTCTGGATTATAATAATAATTGTTTTCCACAGGGTGACATCGTGATGTGGAGTTTCTCTAACTGAGGGGCCACTGTGTCCCAATGTTAGGGCCCCATTTATTTCATGGATTGTAAAACTACACTATGTTTTCTTTACTGTGTGAAACTGAAGGTGAATGTGTTTCATTCTATTTCTCCATGTTGCTGACAGCGTTCACTTGAGGAGGAATATTTGCTACTGCATGTTGCACCATAGAGAAAGGGGTGTATTAAAAGATGTAACATGACATCTGTTATTATCCACTGACCCCTGGGGATTTTCTATTGTTTTGATATTGTCAATAAACCTGTGAAAAAAATTCAAATTCCCTTCTGTGAATTAGTTGCCAGCTATTTTTGGTGAGAGATTATTCCACGAGTGATGCTGAACTGATCGGTGGGAGCAGCAGGGGCGGTGTGTGTGGGATTAAGTCGACATAACTACTGTGTGTGTTCAGAGTAAATAAATGAATATATCCACAGCAACCTTCACACTCGCTGCAGGGGGGCATTCTTCAAACTGAGCTGGATGACACAGTGGAAAATGAAATATACAGTAAATGTTTCTAAAGTAACCTTCAATAAATACTTCTCAGGACAAAGTCACTTTGTTCTTGGAGCCAAATTTACACCGGGATAAAACTAAAACCTGGAAATTGGCTATTAACCCTTTGTTGTTTTTCTAATGGATGAGATATTGTTGTGTGTTTTTTAACTATAGTTCTTTTTAAGTCTGCTTTTCCCATAGAAAGCAGCAAAAAAAAGAGACAAAGTAAACAAAACATAATAATAATAATATTAATAATAATAATAATAATACATAATAAAAAACTGTCCTGTCTGCTATTAATTAAGGAAATTCAATGACTGAATTTTTTATCAATGCATTTTAGTTACTGTGTAATTTTATTTTGCTTCCATTCATACAGTACCAATGTCCACACCAATCGCAACACTCCAGTATAAAGTTTGAGGGTTTTTACCTGATCCACAGTTTGTGGCTTCACTGCTGCTGTCATCAACCTTCTCGTACTTGCCATGACCAGTCACCACAAACTTGTACTTTTTACCAAGGGAGATCTCCTGAAAATAGGTTCAATAGAAGATGATTGATAAACAAGGATTAATGACCAAATTATATTGAATGTGTTTTTATAATCAATCTGAAATGTTCATTTTAGATGGTCTGCCTTGATGTCAGTGAGCTCAGCTAATTCTGACTTTTGTTTTATTTCTTGTTATTGCTGTTAAAAAAGAAAAGGTATCAGAAGTTTCAACGCTAATTAGACCAGATTCTTTCTCAGTTGTTCAGTTAAAATAATAGACAGAACCTCAGTCAATGTGGAAATAACTTCACCAGTTCTAGCAGTTCTGTACCTTTTCATTCGTTCCTGGAGATATGATGTCACCAAAACTCTCCCATAGATTTTTCTTGTTCAAAACACCACCAGGTTTTATTTCCTACAAACACAGCAGTGTGTAAACTGTCATAAGGGTTTTCAACATGCGCCAAGTATTCTAACTGTAATACTTAAAGGACGCCGTTAGGGGTCAGACTCGCAAAGACTGTCAAGGGTGAATTATACTGACTAGAAACCACAAGCAGATGATGTGGTGGAATTAAATTATTATATGGCAAAGAGATTCAACTAATAACATATGGAGTTCTGAAAGTTTGTACCGCTGGTTTGGAAGGTGAAATGCACGTGTTGCCATCTTCACCGCCCTTCATCCACTGGTTGATGAGATCACTTACACCAACTTTTATACCATCTGCATCCTGCTGAGAAAACCAACAAAAATATATATAAATAGAAAAGGTTGTAGGTTTCAGTAGGCATGACAGTACCCTCATACAATCCTGTTAATGACAGTTGTCATGTGTGAAATGGTTTCCAGCTACAAAGCCATTTGTTTGTGTTGGCAAGACAAAAGCTCCTTTGATCATTAATACAATTGCAGTGTGAATTGCATTAATACAATTCACAGCAGTGTGAAGGAGAAAACAGTAGGTGGCAGAAATAACCAAAAGGCAAAAATTAAAGTAATGTAGACCGGACCAAATTACATAGGAAAATACTTTTACACCAGTACACTTGTGTTCATGATCATTTTAACCTTTGATGCCGTGACTGGGCCCATGTTCTGGTTCCAGGCATCGCCGACCTCAAAGAGGTTTTTCTTGGAGGCGATAGGTTCAGTTGGACTCATCATATCGGTCAGAACCTGTCCTCCTAACCTGGCTTCCTTTGAACAGAGCTTTAAATAGACAGGAGAAAAGAGAAGGTGAGGAGGTGATTTAGAGAGAGAGAAGACAGTGTTCAATAACATTACAGAGTCAGATTTAACAACAAAAATCATTCACTCACATTCATACCAATGAGTGCTAAGACGCTAACCACCCTCCCACCATGTGGTCCACTACAGGGAACGGCACCCGTATTTTTAGAACTGAACTAGAACAGACAATTCCCAACAAAGCGGACAGTTGTTTTTATAGTGTGTTACCTCGATGGCATGTGTGTACTGCTCCAGCTTTTTATCGATCTTTGACACAGTGACAGGTGATGGCGTCTTCTTTATGTTAGTGTTTGTGCTGTAAAATAAACAAATAAATAAGGAATCTTAAAATTAACACAGTAATCACATTAAATAATTTGTGAAGATTAATCTGATTCAAAATTTCAGAATGACGTTCACTGTATGTCCAAAAATAGAGGGTTAATTGCAGTGAAGTAACACACAATGATTCATCTTAGCATTCAACTAATAGAAGAACAACACACGATGATTGAGTGTAATTGCTGCGCTGATGCACCGCTCAGACAATCAGGCATTAAAATGAATCGTACAGCACGCACACACATGCACACGTGCACTGACCTTCTCCTCAGAGACTCAGTTCTCTCAATGATCTGTGGAAAGAATCAGCATTTCATGCTTTTCATTTTGTTCTTATTGCCCACAGCCAGACACTGTATATTGTTCAGAGAGACTGCAGTTCAAAGAACCTGACAGAAAGCAATTCGTTTTATCCAATATTTCTATTTTTGTAGGTGTTGAGTTTCACATGTGGAAAATAGACAATAGTAAAAATGTTTTCACAGCATGTGATTCCCATGATTCAGTGAAGTTATGCGCTGCAGGCTGAAGAAAACAAAAAAAAATACAGAAACACAGAAATCTGTACATCTTTTCTCAAAAAATAAAATCAATGAATAACTATAACTTCTGTCATTTGCAGCCGGTGACCTTCAGGTCTGACCTACCTTGCATTTACCATCTGTCGAGACTTTACTGTTGATTTCATCCTTGAAAGAGATATGAAGAGAATGAGTCATTTCAGTTATTGCAGGCCTGACATGACAAGTTACACAAAGAAGGTTTTGTATGCTTTAAACAAAACTGATACATTTTACTTACTGGGTAAAACTGTACGAGGAGTTTCTGATGGAACAGCAGAGAAAATATGTAAGAAAAGGAAAATCACCAGGAGATAATTTTCAGAGGGAAACAAACACATTACAAATCAAAGCGTATCTTTTAAAAAACATTTTGCAGAAAAAATCAGGAAATATTTGAAACAAATGAAAAATTTGCCTTTCATAGTCATTGCCTTTCGGGACTCACAAGGTAAAGCTTTTATTAATTGAATAATTTATCAACAAATGTTGTCATTGTCATTTAGCGTAAATAACGTACCATTCAGCTTTCATTCAGTTTTGTCTTGGAAAAAAAGAAAGTTGTTGACTGAAGTTAAACTGTCTTAGAAAAGAAAGTTGTTGACTGAAGTTAAACAAAATGAACACTGGAAACTTCTTCACGAAGTTCAGAAAAAGAAAAGGGTACAGTACTTATGTACGTGGTGTGCTGTATGTATATAATTTATCATATAAACCACTTTTGGCTCCTTAAGTTACCTTAAATGTTGGACTCATGGGACCGTAGCAGTTTAAAGACTCTGGGCTTTCAACACTGCAGGGAGAAACTCCAGATCCTCTGTTGACCTCCTCACTTTTCCTTTCTGTGCTTCCCCTTAGTTCCTACAACCAGATCAAAATGCACAAGTCAACTAGTATATATTTACCAACATGTTTTAACTAATGAAACTGAATAAGTCATATTTACAATGCAGCTAATTCCTGTTTCTAAGAGTCAAACCTGGAATTTGTTACGACATTTACGACATTTGTTATGACATCTGTTATGACTACGGGAGCCAGAAGCAGTATTTCTTTTGCTGATTACTTCTAGATTCAAAGCCAAATTTCTGCAATTATGAGTTTTCAAATCAAGCATGTATGTGTTTATTGAAGTATTCCATAGTACACTTGGAAAAACAGGGATATGTTCTGAGGTATGTCCACACTCTGCTGCTCAGCAGAGGTATTGTGTGAATAAAAGCAGCCCGTTTTTAACACCCCCTCCACTTGACATGATTAAATAAAACTCACAACATCTATTGTGGGAATCTGAGGACGAACAGTTGAAGCAGGTGTTGAAGGAATCTGAGGACGAACAGTTGAAGCAGTTTGGTGAAAACATCCAGAAAGACCTATTATAGGTATCCTGTGGAGTTTGTAAGTATGGTTGAAGCAATGCTTCAACAAGTGACTCTTTGTGATTCTCTGTGATTGTGCAGTAATACATGTAATACACGTTCCAGGTATACAAACTGAGGAGCACCAGAAGAAAAGTCCCTGGGGAATTTTCAATGTTTGAAAGATTAAGGGTTCATAAAA